TCTAGCAGCACAGAAGACATGCCTGTTGTCAAACCGCGCCAACAGCGGATAGCTTCATAGCCAATGCAGTATTCAGTGTAGCGAAGCACCCATTACAGGCAAGGCTTTAGCTAGGCAGGTGGACGTTTTGCAGCAACCGAGACAAACAATTCTCCACCCTTTCCGCGCAACTTTTTTAGTTTGCGCCGTGGGCATAGCTGTGGCTTGCTTCTTGCCGATTTGTGTCAACACGTGTTTCGCTGCTAACTTAACTCGTAGTCCTCGCCATTATCGGAGGCCCGACTGCCCCAAACGTCACTGCAATGGCAGCTCGAAGGAAACAAAAAACTGATGCCGTCATATGCACCTCAAACATAGCTTGAAGGCGAGTTGGTTTGAACGACGGCGAAGAATACTGTTATACAAATCGGGCCACTATACTGTCGCCTTTACTGAAGAGTTCCTCAATTCCTCATATGCCGTTAACACTAAGCTGGCATTGGGCCCAAGCATTGTCGCCCTCGAAGGGGTTCATGTTCCGCTGCATGACTGCGCGAACCTGCAGCTGAAATTCACCAAGCATCACTAAACCTACGTGAAAACACGCTAGTGATGCTGCCGCAGTTCGGAGTGGAAGCGATCATTCCAAGCAGTCACTTAACCCTGAACGGCCTCACCATCTTGGCATAACCTGGCTCCAAAGATGCATCTCGAAATCCATAGTGTCCAGTCCCAAGCCCAAGCCTTCTCTGAAAAAGCTTTCAAGAGTTCAGGCGCCTGAAGCCCAATGTACCCAAACCAACATGTTCGACGAGGTTCGAAAAGGAAAGGAGTGTGACAACGCCATGATGCTAAAGAGTTACAAAAACGGACCTTGACCCAAAGAAACCGCCAAAAACGTGTCCAAAATCTTATCTACTAAGTCCAACTCCGACTATACGACAACCCGAAAATACTGCCAACAACTCCGATGCCGCAACCAACGCAAAGGCCAGTTTGCACGACAAACATGGCGCAGTGCACGCAAATCGTGCTAAGACTCAGCCATTTTGTGCTTGCACCATGATACTTTCCTGAAACACGTGACATTCTGAGAGAACGGCCGGGACACTGCGAGTGGTGACGATGTTGTAAGGACTCAGCAGGCCCAGTAGGCAGGGAGCCAGGGCTCTCGAAACCAACACGGAGACAAACTCGGTCTTACTATCGAGCTGCCTGCGCAAACAAGGCTGCATGAACATGCTGCAACACCCCACCCCTGCAATATCTGCGGATATCTGAGGCGAGTTCTGCAGACAAAAGTGGCAAGCGCAAGCTTCGACAACAGCTTCGACTGATGAGGTCTTCACTCGTCTGTGGCATGGAACTGAATGGTAATGAAGCCGTCCTTCCCCAAGGAATGCTCCGTCAAAAAGAGTCGATGATTCGAGGCTCGGGCTTCGCATGTTCGGGAGTATGATAGAACATATATGCTATCCTTAAAATTAACCTAAGTAACTACTATGTTGTTGAGGCCTTTGGACCCTTAGGGAAATATCTGTGCACATATGTTTCTATACAGCCAAATATATCACAAACGACATTGTCAAAACTATACAGGGACTATATATACAAAGTACTAACTTACTATCTATCACATTGAAAACAGTTTGCTCCTAATGCGAACCGCAAACAGGGTATGAGGTATGGATCGAACGACTCGTTGCCTGCCGATCCCATCCCATGGTTCTTCCAAGCCACATCATGCAGGTGATGTAAAGCAAGATCATGCTGTCACGGTGGCAGAAGATAACCATCATAACACGTCTGAGAAGGGTCTAGAAAAGAGCTCAACAAGGCGCATGACTTCTTCTCACCTTGGGGAGAGCTGCGCAAGCTGCACTTTCCCGGGTAACGGATGTGAGCTCCGGTATTAAATGTGACCGTCGCATTCGACATGACACGTGGAACCCGGCCTCCTGGTGGCGTCCATCCTTGGGATGAGTTCAAACGATCTTTGCCCTTTCGCATGGCTACGATGGATGCCTACTGGCGAGGTTTCATGGGTACTGTATGCGGTGCTTGCAAATCGCCTCAACCGTGCCAAAATGATGGGAGAGAGGGTTTCAGCGCAAGGACTCGGGTGCAGCATTTACAGCGTCACACGATCGCCGAACGCACGTCGGACCAAACCGTGGAACCCAACCGGCAGACATGTCGTCGCTGCAGTATAGTAGCCAAGGTGGCTGCACTAGCCAGCAGCGGCAGCCTTAATAGCCGCAGCAGCGGCGAATACAGCAGCAGCAGCAACAGCTAGCAGCAATAGAAGCAGCAGCAGCAGCGGTTGCAGTGGCAGCAGCGACAGTAGTAGGAGCAGGAACAGCGGCAGTAGCACTAGCGGTAGCGATGACAGTAGCAGTATAGTAGAAGCAGATGTTAGAAGAAGAAGCAGTAGCAGTAGCAGTACCAGTAGCAGCAGCCGTAGCCGTAGCGGTGCAGGAGCAGTAGCAGTAGTAGTAGTAGTAGTAGTAGTAGTAGGAGCAGTGGTACTAGAAGTAGTAGTAGAAGTAGTAGTAGTAGTAGTAGTAGTAGCAGCAGTGGTACTAGAAGTAGTAGCAATAGTAGTAGTAGTAGTAGCAATAGTAGTAGTAGTAATAGTAGTAGTAGTAGTAGTAGTAGTATAGTGTAATGTAGTGTAGTGTAGTGTAGTGTGTAGTAGTAGTGGTAGTCGTAATAGTAGTAGTAGTAGTAGTAGTAGTAGTAGTACTAGTAGTACTAGTAGTAGTAGCCACCCCCCGCCCCTACCAACTACACTTGCTCCATCCGTGCTGGGCAATGGCAGCTTCTAGGCTCCCGAACTGCGACAGGTGCAGAAGATGCAGGGGCTCAGGCTCCCTATCTGTGACAGCTGCAGAAGTTGCAGAGGCTCACTTTCCTTAACTGTCACAGTCGGTGAACTCGCAGAGGATCAGGCCCCAAAACTGCGACAGCAGTTGGAGTTGCAAACTCGACGGGAAAGAAACTGCTCAACCACAGGTGGTCGGATAGTACGAAAACGTTGTAAATACCGTGCAAATCGCAAGTGCTGCCAAGAAGGTTTTAACACTCCTAAAACCTGAAGCGCAACATTTTATAGACATCAAAAGCA